TCGTTGTTTATTTAGTGGTTATGCTCTGATTGTGTAACATCGAGGCTGAGACACTTGTTTTAATTTTTGAATTAGAATTAATGTTTTGATTTGTTTTTACGACATTTATTTTATTGTGGAGAATAAACATGATTGTATCGAGTATTTTAATTTGATTTTTCGGTGTTATTTGAATAAAGTTGAGATGTTTTGAAGTTAGTACACTTTAATCAATGTATAATTCTTTTTATATAAGTCTCGGGGTTAGGGTATTATATCATTCACCATGATATACTTTTAACTAACAGGAACAAGAATGTGCATGTTTTGTGGGAACATTGAAGAAGATACTCTTCAAGTTTTTAGGGAATGCCCATTGGTTATGCAAGTTGGTTGATAGCAGTGAATACTACACGGCTCTAAGTTTTTTCAGTAGTAACTTGGAACAATGGATCCATATAAATATGAATTTAAACCTTGGTTAGAAAGAGGATAATAGTTGGAAGGATTTTTGGGCGATAACATGTCATTTTTGTGTAGAGCTGGAAAAATAAAGAAGAACAAAATGACCATTTTACTAGGCTGGTGGATTCCATGGGAATTATTTGTAATCATAAAAATGAGTATGAACTAGCTTGTAAGATTCTGAGTAACATCATTGAGCCTTGAAAAGAGAAGAAATGGATTAGTTGACATCCTTCTCTTGAGGGAAGGATTAAGGTCAACTCAGATGGTGCCTGTGATGTGGATGATAAAGGAGGATGTGGCGGTATAGTTAGAGATAGTATGGACAATTGGATAACTGGTTTCTCTAAGAATTTGGGTTTGTGCGATGTGTTAGTCACATAATTATGAGGAATCCTAGAAGCCTTAATTATTACTAAGAGAATTGGTGTGAGTTCCATTGAAGTTAACATCGATTCTACTAAAGTAGTTGATGAGATAAATAATATCAATAAAGCAAATCCAGTGGAAATAACCTTGTTAAAAAAAATCAAAGAATACATTAACATGGACTGGAATGTTCTTATCGACACGATTTTAGGGAAAAAAACTTGTGTGCAAATGCTTTTGCTAAGAAAAATATAAAGCTTAATGAAGAATATTGTTTATTTGATTCTTATCCTTATTGGTTGAAGCATATTGTAGATGCGAATGAGGTGGAAATTTCGGTCCTTAGGGCGTTAAGCCCTCGTTTGTATAAAAAAGTGTTTTTTTTTTAAATTTATTTATTTTTTAAAAACATAATATATAAATAATTTTTAATAAATATATTGTTTTATAAAATTAATCTCAAAAATATATTTTTTAAGTAAAATATTATTTTAATTTGAGAATAAAAAATTCAATTTTATTTTTTTCTTCTTAAAAATAAAATATTCCAATAGTTACAAGTAATTAGTTTTATTATATAGTATTTTCGTATTGAATTAAAATATAGTGCAATGACAATTATTGATCCGCTGTCGCGCACGGATCAAAAACGAGTTATTTTAAAACATAGTACATTGATAGTGTGACTCGAATCGTCTCACAAGGATTATTGTTTGTATCAAAACAACGTAACCGAATAGGGGGTTTGGCTTTAGGATCGAGTTGTAAAAAAAACAGAAAATAAGTGATTATGGAAATAAGTTAATCTGCTGTTATGGTTCTTATTTATCATCGGTTACTATAATTTCACTGTCCTAAGCGGAATCTATTCATATTCGATCACAAATCAATCAACAATCGCGAAAGAATTTATAAGAATTATATTTCCTTTTCACCGAATTAAGCAAACAGTTAAGCAATAGCGAAATAACGAATTAAGCAAACGATATAACGCAATCAAGTTTGGGAAACACAAATCAACTGAACTAACAAAACTACTCTATGATAATTCAGATTAAGCAAACGAATAACACAAAATAGGATTGATATGAATAGAAATTGAATTGCAAAATTATATTAACCTCAAGTTTCGGAATCAAAGTTACAACAGATCAACTCTGATGAATTAGTTCTCCATAGAATTTCGTACAAAACAAAAGTTTTTTCGTTCCGATTCTCTCAATTGTGTCGATGAACCGTCGATGTACTAGGTGTAAACGAAATTAAATAGTTCGGGTCGTAACCCAATTGGGTCAAATACATAACCCAGGCCAAAAACTAACGACCCAAAAATAAAACTAATGCTGTAACTTCAATGCAACTTTCAAATCTGCTACAGATCGAATCAACTTCTGACTTCTTCATAAAAGTCGTAGATCTTTCTCTTAGCTTTCCAACAAGTACTAGAACACCTCGATCAGACTCTCGTAACTCCAGTTATGAATTTATTCGTAAAAGCTGCTAAAATTGAAAATTAAATACGAAAATCTAATAAGTGCAAACATAAAATAAATTAGAAAAACATATTAAAACATAAAAATAAATAAAATAAATCATTGTACTTAAAAAATTGTACATCAAAATACATTGATCAATTATCTAATAATTTTTTATTATTATTTAATCATATTATATAATTTATTTAAAAATAATAATATAATTTAATGGTTAATATAATTATGATTGATCGATAATATAAAATCATTTTATTGTAATAATATATCCTTTATTCTCTTTTATATTACAGCGCTTTTGTATTACATTTTAAGTTTTCCTCTCAACTAAAAAAAAAGTAAGACCATAACAAATACTAGTAATAGTAACCATAGTTTATTCCACCAAAACGAAAACCGTATGTACCGTTATTTCAGGTTTAATATATTTGAACGCACGTGTCAAAAAATCTATCTTAAACTCAGCATGCAAGTTGTGACACGTCATGGCCACACACGTCAATGCTTAATGCTTATTGGTCAAATATCCAACAATGCACATAACCAAGTGCCACGGCAGGTGGTTTTATGATTTAGTTAGTTAACCGTGTGTTAATCAACTGTCAACTCCGCACCGCACCGCACCAAAACCTAGATCCGGTTTCATAACACTGTTTCGCCATAAACGGGTCGGAGCATTTTAAACATTTATTGTTTTTCATTCTTTGATAATTTCAAATGACAAGGACACTAAAGCCACGCCAAACAAAAATATGAAAAGATAAGAAAAAAAATACAATCTTGTAAGATTTTGCAACTTTATAAATGTTTTTTTTAATATCAATTATACTTTATTATAAAATTAATATTTTTAATACATTTTTATTTTTATATTTATTCATTTAAAAAATAATGCTTTTATTTTTATTCTTTTTTATTAATTGTATTTATTTCACGAGTTATTCAACTAAGAGATTTAAAAAAATGATTTTAGTTTCAAACTAAAAATAATAAAAAGAGTTTTATTTAAATAAAAAATAAAAAATTAATACAATACCCAACACTGTATAAATTAGTCAACTAATTAATTTATTTGTCAACAAAATTGAGAAAAACTAATAGTTAAAAATACAATCCATAAATTTATACATATCATATGTTAAAAATTGTATCTTTAACAATATGACAATCAAACTCATGTTTATTACATATTTGTAATAAAAATAGATTAAATTATAATTTTAATCTTTTTAGTTAAACTCGTTTATAAACTTTGTCTCTTGATTTTAAAATTATATCACTTTAGTCCATCTCACAAATTTTTTATTTAGAAAATATTATGTATTATTTATTTAATGTTGTGGTACAAAATTCGATGATATGAAAGAATCGAAAAATATTAATAAATTAAATATTATTAATTATATAATTATAAATTATAAAAAAATAGAAAATAATAATTAAAAAATAAAAGGAGTTTTATTTGAATTAAAAAATATATATAATTTTTAATACAGTATCTAATTAATTTATTTGTTAATAAAATTGAGAAAAATTAATAGTTAAAAAATTCAAACATAAAATTTTTAATTTACGAAATTAATCTCTCAAATTTTTATATCATTTATTTAATGACGTGACATAAAATTCTCTCCATCTAAATCTTTAATCTATTGTGGAGTTCAAATTATACTAAATTAAAAAAAATAATCATCATCAACCATGTATGCGCACAAACATATTAGATTAAGTCTTTCCTTCTATAAATTGATTATATCAATTTCAATAACTTTTACTTATGATTGAGCCTTGTCTTTCTATATAAAATTTGTATGCAATATTGAGTTTTTGTCTTATAACTTCATATATTTATATGCAATATTGAGTTTTGTCTTTTGATATAAATTTTTTTATTTTATTTTACTCAAGTAATTTTTAAGATAAATAAAAGAAAGAAATAGAAAGAATAATTAAAGAGTAACAACAATAATAAAGTAAATTTTTGTAAAAGATAGATAAAAAAATCCTTGCGATAAGTATTTCACTGTAATTAAAGAGTAAAAATTACTAAAAAGTAAATTATTTTAATTTAATATAATAAATATTAGTATATTATAAATATTTTGAATTATATCTAAATTAAAATAAAATATATTAAAATAAAATTATTATAAAAAATAAACACGAATAATACATATTTTAAAAAATATATATATTTTGAAAATAAACTTATCAAACAAATAAAAAATTAATCTTTTTCAAAAATAACATTATCAAATAGATTTTATTTTATTTTATTCTTCAAAACATTTTTCTAAAACTAACTTATAAAATAATTTTTCAAAAATTAAAACCCAAAACCTAACTCCCCTCTTATACATATCCAAATTTAGCTTATGCATGCATGAGAAAGGGCTTACGAAACCTACCCGACCCATTTAATAGAGGTCCGGGTTCACACGTATTCAATAGCCATTAACCAAAGCAACTAAACTTCCCTAGTGGCAACAAATTTTCACCGCCACACCATACGCAACCACTCTCGTCACTGATTCTCCGATCACTTTCTTTTGCTATTCCCCAAAACGACCGTGAATTTTTCGATAATTACAAATCTGCCCCCGCTCCAATTCACAAAATAAGCAACCACGATCTTATGCAATTGAGAAATACTAATTTCTTAAAACTTCGAATTTGATGGTAACTTTCGAGGGAATGGAACAGCAGAGAAGTTCCGCCGGTGGTGCGTCGCTCAGCCCTAGATCGCCGTCGTCATCGCAACCGTTTCTCTCCGTTTCTGTTACGGATCCTGTTAAACTCGGCAATGGCGTTCAGTCTTATATCTCTTACCGCGTCATTACCAAAGTATTTCTATTACTCGATATTCAATTACTTCGTGCTTTTTTTTTGTATATTATTTTGTTGATGCTTCTCTTAAACTTAGTTTAAAATGTGTGAATGATGAAATTTTTGAGATTGTATAATTTTGGTTTTTGTGTGATTGATTTTGCTAAGAAGTTCGGTTTGGGGGTCTGCTTGTTGAGCGAGGTGTTGTTGATGATGTTAAGTGAATGAATTTTTGGGGATAATCAATTTTATTTTGCAATGATTGAATGTAGTTATGAAGCAGTATATTTCCGAACCAGAAATTGGAGTGATTGGAATGTAGATAGGCTGAGTTGTTTTGGATGAGTTTTTGTTGTTCATTCTGAAATGTGGTTTATCTTTGGACTGTGTTGGGAGTTTAGTATAAGGGGGTGGGGGTGGGGGTGTGTGTTTATAGATTTGTTGGGATTAAGAATTGAGATGGAACATGCATGCTTACTGGTGATTAATGTTTAGCATGGTTACTGATTGTTTTATGAGTGGAAACAACATGCCATGTAAGTTATGGTGTTGGACCGGCCTTTCCTAAGGCTTGGTGATTGGGAGGACTGTTTGCTGTTCCAGTTGGGTTATCTTGGGATTTGCAATTTCTCAGCTGGCTAGGGAGGATCCTTTGATCGAAATCATAACTGCACATTTAATGTCACAACAGCTTATTATAGGAATAGAAAAAATTGATACAAACACGTTGCAAATTCTCGGGGGAATATATGGAGTTCAGAATCAAAAAGAGAGCTTAGGATCGAGATTTTGAGAGAATGTACTAGTTAGTTAATAGGATGAAGTGGCAAACTTCTGGATTCAGTATCTGGGAACAGGGGTTAGATCTGGAAGTTGAAGGTTTAAGGATGACAGACAATTTTAGTTAATTGAAATGCTATCTCAAAAGCTCTCTCTGATTTTGCACTGCTGGAGTTTTTTTATTAACTTCATTATTCTAGATGAAATTTATCGAGTGTATCTAATATCCATCAAATTTCAGTGAAAGAATAACTAATTATTTCCTCCTCCCTTATGTTCATTGCAAAGATATTCTCTCATCATTTGAGTTTTATTTCCATTTGATTGCATTGAGTAAATGTGTAACTGCAAACATGTGACACATGATCATATGATTATTCGAAACTATGTGGCAGACAAATTTTACGGAATACCAGGCACCCGAGAAGATTGTCATCCGGCGTTACAGTGACTTTGTTTGGTTACGTGATCGCCTTTTTGAGAAGTACAAAGGCATTTTTATTCCTGCACTTCCAGAGAAAAGTGCTGTAGGTAACATCTATAAATAGTACTCTTTCTTGCACGCTTTATAATACTTTGAATGAGACTATCTATTGAAATTTAATGGCAATGCTACCTTGACACTTGTTCCGTGCTTTATCTTCCTGTTTGTGTTAAGACACTGTGTTGCTTTTAATTTCATTGCAGTAAAAATATTTTGTTTGATGGAAATTGTTTTTTTTTTTCACCTTGCTCTTTTACACGATCAAAATAGTGTAGAACAGGTTGTGTGTGCGTGTGTGCGTGTGTGCGCGCGCACGCGTGTATTTATGGAACAGCTTTGGTTAGAAAACTTTCTCATTGTGAGAAATGATAACTGACTTATCACCATCCAGTGAATATTATCTCAAATCTTATGTGATTTATTGATTCCCATAAATTCAATCCACCGTTTCTCACTTCTCTGAAACCATGTGAGTTTCTTATTTGAAATTCATCTGTTAGAAAATCAAATATTGGATTTCAAGCTAGTTTTCAACGTTCTTTTCTAACCAGAGAAAGGAGAAGAATCAATCATGAGATTTATGTCCATGAACATGATAAGATCAATTAAGAACAATGTAGCTCTTGTTCAATAGGGACAAAGGTGGAAGAAACACATCACATTGTTTGATGACAAGGATGATGGAAGGGCAGGTACGCAGAGAAGGGATAGTAGCCACTCATGTGAGCCTTAATTGATTTTTTTTAATCTAGACCAATGACCATTAAATTGTATTTTACGGTGAGGAATGATTGTTCTCATTTCTCACAATAACAAAATGTTCTCACTAAAGTTGTTCACTATATATATTTTAAGAATTAACCTTGGAAGTACCCAGTCTTCTGCTTTGCCTGTTGGATTTTTCCTCTGCCTTTCAGATTTCTGATTGTGCTTTATAATTTGAATACATATCTAGACTGCTTGTCTGATTTATTTTATGAAAGTCTTTCATTTCAGAGTTTAACATGCTATTTATCAAATATATTGTGTCCTAGATTGCCTTTGATTATGCTTATAAAAATTTGACTGTAGATTTGATACACTGCTGTTAAACATTGTTTAATCATGTAATGATATCCATGATTCCCCTCATAGAAAATTGTTGATTTCTGATAGTAGTTTATTTGAGACTTCAAATATCATGTTCTTGTCATCTAACACTTTATATGGGTTTCAATTTTGGTTTATATTACAGAGAAATTCCGTTTTAGTGCTGAGTTTATCGAAATGAGGCGACAGGCATTGGATGTATTTGTAAATAGAATAGCATCACATCATCAACTTCAACAAAGTGAGGATCTGATGACGTTTTTGCAGGCAGAGGAAGAGGTGATACCTTGAATTCAGTGATCTATTTTGTTCTCAGTGCTTCTCTATTTATTTTATATGTGATTTGTTGGCTATGCCACTCTTTCTTTTGTTTTCCAACTTTTTATCATGGTGCCACGTCACTGTACTGTTTTTGACTATGAAGCACGGACACCGGAAACACACATCGACGCTGACACGTTGACACCGGTAATAATTTGAAAAAATGAATAAATTCAACGTAATCACAAGTATCAGGTTTGGACACGGACACACCTTTTTGCAAAGGTGTCGGTGCTATAGGGTTTGAGTCCAAATCTTTGATTCAATCTAACCATATTGATTACATTGATTGCTTAGTTCGGTGTTGAGTCTCATGAATTGACCATTAATGACTTGATTTCATATTAGTGGTTGTTATATGAAAAAATGAATTATGCAATATGGTTTGATTCCATAACTACCTCCTAATCACTCTGTAGAGAGTGGGACGTTGAACGTGTCGAGACTTACTCCCATCTTTTGCCACGAGAAATTTTGTTATATCTATTGTGTCTGCAACTGCTCTAGTTCTGATGTTTTCTCACATTTGATTTGACTTTTAAGAGGTAAAATAAAACCTTACTTAAGCTTGATTTCATCAAACATACTATGCAGACAATGGAAAGGCTAAGGTCCCACGAGGCTGGCATATTCAAGAAGCCATCTGATTTAATGCAGATTTTTAAGGTAAGACAAGTTCTACTGGTATTTTCTAATATGAATAGTTTCCTTCCACGTGATAGAAATCTGTTAATTGGAGTGATCTAAATTTTGAATATCATTTTACTCAGATTGAAATCTGGTAAATGGAGTGATCTAAATTTTGAATTTCACTAATTTCCTATATGAAATAACCTTACAGGGGTGCGTCTTCCTTTCCCTGTTAGTACGTATGAAACAAGTTATGATTTGCTTTAGTTTTTGCAAATAAAATGTCGTTGATGACATGTAGGCCCATAGAGTAGAGTGTGATTGAGGGAGTTTAACAGGTTTTATCTGTATCCTCAGTAGACCAATGAAATATACTGTACTTGGTATTTGCATTTTGCTGCATTCTTGTGCAATTCAACTACTTCCATGAATATGTCTAGTGTAATGGTCTCCTGGATTGAAGAGTTCCTCTATATAGACAATTGCTTTTGCTAGCCTAGTTGTTTGAGTGGTGCCGTTTGTTCTGGTATCTTGTAAGACTTAAATTGATTAAGTGAATTTTTGCAGGATGTGCAATCAAAAGTGAGTGATGTTGTCCTTGGGAAGGAGAAGCCAGTAGAAGAATCTGATGCTGAATATGAGAAGCTTAAACATTACGTTTTTGAACTTGAAAATCACTTGGGTGAAGCTCAAAAGCATGCATATCGTCTTGTGAAGAGGCACAGAGGTAACGGTTTCATTCAAGATTTCAGTTAGATACTTTTTTGTCTCCTACCTTGTCCTTTTCTGATTTACTCTCATGTGCTTTCTTTTTATATTTTATCCCTATTCTGCCAAGATTAATTACTGTGATAAAATGTACTTTTTGCTCTTGCAGAGTTGGGACAATCATTGTCAGATTTTGGAAAAGCCGTGAAACTTCTAGGTGCTTCTGAAGGAAATGCACTTGGGAAAGCATTCTCTGAACTTGGGATAAAGTCAGAGATTTTATCAATCAAGCTGCAAAAGGAGGTCAGCTCTATATGTTATTGTCATGCATTAATTTTATTGGCTTCTCATATACACTTGTTTGCATAAATTTGCATGCTTTTGAAGGGCGAAAAAGAACTATCCTAATTTGAATCTGTCAAGCAGGCACATGAGCTCTTGATGAGTTTTGAAGAACCTTTGAAAGATTATGTCCGTGCTGTGCAATCTATTAAGGTAGTTCTGGTTACACTTTCTTTCACTATTTCATAACAAAATTGTCTAACCTGATTAAGACATTTTTATGATTTTGAAATATATTTCACATGCCTGCTCCTTCAACTTCAACCCTTCCCCCAAGAATGAGCTAAAATGGATTGTTATAACTTATTTTAAATTGAGTGGGTCCTTACATTCTGAAACAGGCAACAATAGCAGAGAGGGCCAATGCCTTCAGGAGGCAATGTGAACTGGCTGAAACAATGAAGCTGAAGGAGATTAATCTGTATGCTTCTGTTTATCACTTTTACTCTGACTAATTTTGTTTGCATTACATGACATGATTACCCCCTCTTTTCACACTATGTTATGGTTGAATTAGCATTCACAATATGTGGAATTTGTATACTTGTTTTTAATCTAGCCGATGGACCAGAAAACTGCTTATTGTGTTGTATACTGATATATATTCTTTATAATTGTTTGGAATGCAGTGACAAACTCATGTTGATTCGCTCTGAGAAAGTGGGAGAAGCTGAGCGTGAATTTCATGAGGCAAGTTTGTTTATCATTTGGCGTCTGGTAATGATATATATTTTTTATATGTTGTGTGTTCGACTGAACTGACATGATTATGCCATGCAGTTGAAGGCAGAGAGTGAACAAGCAACGAAGACATTTGAGACAATTGTGAAACTAATGAATGAAGAAATAGGGCGTTTTCAGGAACAGAAAACATTAGATATGGGGATAGCTTTCCACGAATTTGCCAAAGGTCAGGCACGCCTAGCAAATGGTATTGCAGATGCGTGGCGGAGTTTGCTTCCTAAACTAGAGGCGTGTTCCTCTTCGTAGTGACACTCTTTGTAATAGGGGTTTACAAGAGTTCTATGCTGCTTCAAATTATGTTGTAAAAGATGTCATTTTCTCACCACTTTGATTTTGTACAAAGTCTTAAAACAATTGAAATGCCATATTTAAAATATCAGCTGAACCCCAACCTTTGATTTTCCATTCTCCTCTATCTTTTCTTCTTGTTTCATGTGGTTGTATATCATGTTTGTTTTCACGGTGGATTGGATGTGCGATCAATTGAAGCATACAGTTATACCTAGAGTTAAACAGCTTTCAGCTAAACTCAACCCTTGGTGGTAACGTGGAAACACTAATTCACAAACACATAATAGAAATATTGAGGTGTTCTAGTAAGTTCCCCTTAGAATGTGATGAATTATTCATTATGTACAACTTTTTAATTGGTGGCAAATTAATTGAGATTTCACCTAAGTATTATAGTGACCTGCCTTTGTTTAGAAGAGTTAATGAGTGCCTTTGTTTAGAAGAGTTAATGATGCTATTAATAAACTCCAAAAAAAAAACCTATAATATTCTTTTTATAAATCATGTCAAATAAATATTTGTAGAGATATTTAAAAATTATTTTTAAAAAATGGCAAGAAAAAATTATACCTACCGTTTATGTATACAAATTAAATTGAAGCGAAAATTAAAATAGGAATTTTCGTTTAAAAAGAAAAGGTATGATTTTGGGTGAGAGGCAGCAATAATATTGGCAACGTGGGGCTTTTAAGAGCCATTTGTTCTACACAAACCTGAACTCAAATGAAATCATCTCAAGCATTATCTATCCAGTGCCATTATTCAACATACAAAACAATAAGAATCAACAATAGTTGGCTGAAAGGGAGAAGGGAAAAGCAAAAGCATGGCAATGACAACAAGTAGTAGATGCTTGAGTATAAACCTGAGAGGAACAGGATTCAATCCCCATGTTCCTCTCCCTTCTCAGCACTCCCTTATTCCTATTTTCCACAACAACATTCATCCTTCACCGGTGCTTCGCACCAGCTTCCATGTCACGGTGGTGGCGCCGAAAGCTTCAGCCAGAAGCTACAGCTCCACCGATGACGATGATGGTGTTTCTCTGGGCACCATGAAACTGCCGCTTAACATAGACCTTCAAAGATTCGATTCCCTCTTATTTCAGGTATAAATAAATGTTCAACGGGTAATATTATTTAGTGTGTTGATGTCTTGTCTGACATGTTTAGACGGAGGTGCTAAATCACTTCATTTTCTTACTAATATGTTATATACTTGTGTTGTGGCAGTGGGCAAACAGCCTTGCACAGGGAGCCAATCTACCACTTCCCATGCCTCTCAAGGTACACATAATATGTTCTCAACATTTCATATGTTGCTAGTGCTATCACTTTTCATGTAAAAATCTAAGCCATTTTAATGTGATAAAACAGGTGGATAAAATAGCTGGTGGAGCAAGATTGGGATTTATAACCATTGGAGATGGGGACACTGAAGTTCTTGTGTATATTGACTGTTTGGTTTTTAAGCCCAATGAAAGTTCTGCACCAATTTTCCGTGCCTCCAGACATGGACTCTTGAAAGATAAGGTGCCACCGGGTGAGCCCAGAATCATGAGGAGTCTTATGCAAGCTCTCGAAAAGTCGGTTCAAATCGCCACATTGTGAAGTTTTTGGTTTTGTTTTTCTTTCTTCCTATGTACTTGTAGGGTTCTGAGCTGAAAAGTGTAAACTATCCGAAATGAAGTATAAATTTGATGCAGATATATTTACTCCAAGAGAGTCATGAATGATTCACTGTACATATATTTTTACTACTGTGTATTACAACTTCCCAAAGTTAGTGGATTCAAAGTAAGTGAATCCATTTCCCTTCCCAAAACAGTTTTTGTATTTTGGTCATAACTAATGTTGTAGACATGTCTATAAATCCTACTTTGATTGACAAAAACTATTATTAGATTGTGCATATCACCTAGGTATGAACTTGAATTCCACAGTTGTTGTTTTTTTTAGTAGATATTATTATTGTCTATGAATAAATTTTTACATGTTTAATAATTGTGTTTTGTTATTTAGACACAATTTAGATATTAAATTAGGGGCATACATTTTGGAATTCTCAGTGACGAGTTATAGATCGGATATTGCGAGTATGTTAAATAGATTGTCGCCAAATTGGTGTTCGTGAGATATAAGGGAATCTGAGCTTTTATGAGAAGTCGGTCATTTGGGGTCCTCGGAGAGATACTCCTGAGTTATGTACGTAATCGGATGGTGATTGTGTGATCAGTTCCTATGTTTATTTAGGTTGAAGATCATTAAATTGATGAACTTTCCTTAAGGCTCTTAGTAAGCCTTATTTATTTAAAGGATTAAGATTACCAATATTGACGAACTTACCATTAGGTTCATGGTTAGCCTCTTTAAAACCTTAAGTTAGAAGATTAGTCTGTTAAAATCTCTAGAGGTTATTAGTTATCTTGTTAAATCAAATTGAGTTCAATTATTTCGTGGAGGAAAGATCAATCACTTCAATCTACAGTTGAGAAGGAAGTTTGGCCACTTCAGTCTCAACAATTTCAATGGAGAAGACGCAAACGATCATATTTTCCGTCTTGTAATATTTTGGTTGTAGGATAACCACTATTTCCTTGTATAAGGGGGTTCGTGAGCTTCACCTACTAAAAACTCTCAAGTATATAATAAAAACTCTCAAGATCAGTTCTTGGGGAGAGGAGTATGTCTTTTATTTTGACCGGACCTCTATAACTTTTGGTGTTCTTCTTCTCCCTTAAACTCTTTAAATTCTGTACTTTATTTCAATATTTATTTTCTGCTGTTTAGATATAGAAAAATATTTTCAAACTCTGATTTAATCTCAAAAAGTTTTTTAAAACCATATTTTTTTTAAACCACACAATTCACCTCCTCCTCTTGTGTGGGAAGTCTCAAATCCAATAGATATGACATACACAATTGATAACAAGAAATGATAACATGTTTTTTGAGCAATTCCGAATGAGAAAACAAGTCTTTCTGCATTTGGTATATGAGTTGACTAATAATTGTGGATTGACACCAACTAAACACAATGGAGTGGAGGAAAGTGTTGGGAGATTATTTTACATGATAGGGAAGCCTTCCTCATATAGAAATGCCCAAGAGCGGTTTCAACATTCTCGTGAGACCATTCATAAACATTTCAACAATATTTTAGAAGATGTATGCAAGTTGGGGGAAAAAGATAATAAACGTGTTGATCTTTGTTGACTCTTCTCAATATTGGAGATGATAATTGATATTAGCCTTACTTCAATATGTGTTTTACTTTTGCATTGTGTGGATGAGAAGAATTTGTTCATGATTCAAAGATTATTATGCACACTCTCTGCAAACCCGATTAGCGATTTCCTTATCCTCTAGAAGTTCACTTTTTGATACTTTAAATATTTTTATTTGTATAATAAATATTTTTATATTCTTGTCTGATATATTTTGTTTATATACATAGACAAATATTATCTTATACATTCAGGATATCTGTCACATAAAGGTTTCTTAGCACCATACAAGAATGCAGGAAATAAAATCTTTAATTATTATCATTATAGTTTGAGAAGTGTGATTCAAAGAACTTTTGGTGTGGTAAAAGTAAGATGGAAAATTTTACAAGAAATTCCTAATTTCAAGCTTCAAACTCAAATGACTATTATTTGGGCTTATTTTGCACTTCATAACATTTTAAGAAGAAGAAACTCAACTAACTTGGATATTCTTAAAAGTTTAGAGAACATCAGTGGTTTACTGGACAATGAGCAAGATTTTCATGAAGGAGATGAAAATGGTGTATCTATTCATGGTGAATGGCAAACTCCAACTCAAGTTGATGTTAGCTATATTGAAGAAATAAGAAACACCATCGGAGACCAATTACTTAGAAACATGGAGCTAAAACGACAATAGTTTTATTTATTTTTGAAGAAACCAAAATGAATTAATAAAAAGACGACCATCTAACACAAGATGTACCACATAGGCCTCAAGAGTTTACAACAAGGAAACAGGACAAGAGCAACAATCTCAACCTAAACCCAAACAAAGAAGAGCTTTTGCCACTACAAATGAGATCCAAAAATAAACCTATCGGACTTGGCCTTTAGCCACCAAAAAGAAATCAATTTTACTCTATCTAACATATGGGGAGTAAATGTAACTTTAGCTTTAAACAAACTATTATTCCTTTTTGTCCAAAGAACCCAGATTGTAGCGAGCCATAGTAACTATAAAAACTCACGGCAAGCGGTATTACCAAATGTAGAATGAATAAATTGTATAAAGTGATCCTTTAGGTGAAAAGGATCAACCCCATCAATACCAATCAGAGATCAAACCTGCTGCCAAAGCAAGATGAAGAATAGACACTGAAGAAACAAGTGTTGAGCTAACTCTACCATACCACACCCAGAATCACATAATTGATCTTCTTGAGAAATGATACCTCGCATTATTAAGTTAAACTTTATAGGCAACCTATCACGCAACAACCTCCACACACAAATAGAAACCTTCGAAGGAACCTACTTATGTCAAACATCATCCAACATGGACTCCACTTATTAATTTTCTGCTTAGTGAGCATATGGTACGCATCACTAACAGTGTAACTCGTAACTTTAAAAAGTACCCATCTTCAATCATCCCGAATATTATCATGTAAAGAGACATCAAGTAATAACATCCTACACTCTTCCACCAATTCCTCCTCCCATACTAACAACCTCCACCACCGCCTCTACACCGCTCCTCCTTCTCCCCACCCTAAGAAAAACATATTCGCCACCGACAGCCCTTTAAACTCAGACAACTGGTAAAGTCGACTAAAAATATCACATAAAGGCTCCTCTCTTACCTAAGTATTCATCCAAAAAAAGAGTATGAACTTACCTACCTTCATACGCACGCTCTCTAACCCCCACCTAACCCCCACCCATCTCGAACCCGACACACATCTCTCCACCAATTTGAACAACATCTCCCTCCTTCCTTCACCCGCCCCGCTTACCTAACAAAGCTATATTAAACTCATTTGGCCTCCTAACCCCAACCCCTCATACTCTTTGTTTTTATAAATAGTCGCACAGTCAACCCAAAACAATTTTCCTATAATTATCACTCTCACCCCAGAAGAAATTTATAAAAATAGAATCTAAGGAAGTGATTATACTTGCAGAAGCTTTGAACAAAGAAAAAGCATATATAGGCATAGAAGCAAGGACAAACTTTAGGAGGATTAAACAACCACCGAACAATAAATTTTGACTCTTCCACCCAGATAACTTAGATTTAATGCGCTTCACCATCAAATCCCAAAAATCCAACCTTCTCGAATTTACCCCAATCGGAAGACCCTAGTACAAAAGGCACCCTCTCGACTCTACAGTGTAACATTGAGGCTGCCTCATACAACCAAGACTTAGGAATATTAATACCTACCAACATACTTTTGTGAAAATTAACTTTCAAGCCTGACATAGCTTCAAACAACACAAGAATAGCCCCCTAAGGCTTTAACATTAGCCCAACTCTTAACCCCCATAAGCAAGGTGTCATCACAAACTGTATATGAGAAATAACTTTTGTAAACTCCCTACCTATAGTGTATCCCATAAAAATATTGGAATTCACCATTGCATCCATTAAACATGCAACCCTTCTTCCTCCATAAGGAAAAGAAAGGGAGAGAGTGGATCACCTTGACGCAACCCCCTCTCAAACCAGAACTCCTCTATAGGACTACCATTAACTAAGACGGACGCTGAAGCCGTCCCAATGCACTCTTTCATCCACTTTCTCCACAAAGGCGAAAAAACATTTTTCCCATAACAGCATCCGAGTAACCCTAATCCACAAAATCATATGCCTTTTCAAAGTCCACTTTGAATAACATCAAATATTTTTTTCAACTTACGTGTCTCATCCACCACCTCATTAGAAACCAAGATACCATCTAGAATTCGTCTATCCTTGACAAAAGCTGAACGACACTCTGATATAACACTACCCCATCACCAAGCGCAAACAATTAACTAACAACTGCTGAAGCGCTAAATCGGCAAGCAAAAGTTTGAAAATATTAATCCAGGAAATTATCGTGTCAACAGAGATCAGTGCTACTAAGTCGTCATTTGACAAGTCTCAAGTTTATGAGTTTGGGTTAGAATAGATTTGAAATAAATGCGGGAATTAAAACTAAAGTTTATTTTTGTATTTTAATTCAAATTACAATATACAATGTAATAATATTAATAAAATTGTTCATATTTATTTAAGTAGGATAACCTAGTAGGCTTAAAATACTTTTTATGGTCTGAGACCTAGTCTTTTTAACTAAATATGCTTATAAAAAAGTTTAGGCCTTTTCTACTTTAAAAAAGTTTGGTCTGACCTAGATTGTAGGCTAGATCGTAGGTAGGGATGGAAATAGGCTAGACCAAACAAATAGCATGACTTAATCCAAGACAAAAAAGCATGAAAAATGACAACACATTGCACACAAACACCCCTAGGGTTTCACCCACTTTGTTGCCTTAAAACATGGTCATGGTATGCATGCTAGGTATCTTGGCAAAACAAAACAAAAACAAAATATCATAGTCCCTCAATGACGCTAGAAAGGGTTGCCTAAACAAATATAATCTTAGTCCCTCAAAATGCTAAATATACTTGGTACTATTGCTATCATGGTCATACGATGACCCACGCCCGTCCCGTTTAACATCCAAAGATAGGGTTGTTTACCAAATACAATGGTAAAACAACAATGTCAAAGGAATACAAATGCGTAGGAAAGACTTTTGAGTAGGTAGATAAGCTTCTAGTTACTTGATCAATTTGCAAACCATCCTTGCTATTTTCAAACACACACACACACACAATTTAAAAACATTTTCAAACAACTTTCAAAACATTGAAACATTTTTCAAAAGACAAACATCTTTGTATACATTCTTACAAACGAGAATCATTACAAAGATTGCCAAAACGATGGCCTCTTTTCAAAATACTTTCAAAACCACACAAAGCACCATTTCAAACAATTGGAAAAGCAAAGCAAGTGATCTAAACAAGTAACTAAGATCTCATGGAAAACCATGGATGAAAAGGGTGCTATCACTTTCCCTTTTCATAATCTACCCCCCGAACCCAAAAACAATCTCAAAGGTCTTTCCTGTGCTTTTTTACCTTTCCTTTTGGATAAAATAAAAGTTGGTGGCGACTCTTGCTAAACCGAAACATTTGCGAACACAAACTCAAAACCTCAAGTCAGTTCTCCCACTATATCACAATGAGCAAGTACCTAAGAGCCCGTAGATAACTACAGATAGAAAGGGTGCTAATACCTTCCCTTTCTATAAATCTACCCCCCGTACTCAAAAATATCTCGAAAAAGGAATTTTTCTGTGCTTTTTTCCTTTCCTTGTTGGATAAAATAAAAGTCGGTGGCGACTCTTGCTTACCGCGACATTTTGCAAAAACAAACGCAAAACGCAAACCAGCATTCCAAAAATAGTCAGTTCTGGCCACCGTATCACAATGTGAAATCAACATTTCTGAATGATCCTTTAGACGAAGAAGTTTATGTCACATAATCTCCCGGGTTTGTGATTCATAAGGAAGCGAGTAAAGTATATAGATTGCACAAAGTGCTCTATGGCCTCAAGCAGGCACCTAGGGCATGGAACAAGAAGATCGACTCATACTTAGTCGAATTGGGATTTGTCAAATGTGAATCAGAGTATGGTGTCTATATTCAGGTTGTAGCATAAGATATAACAATCATCTGCTTGTATGTTGATGACTTGCTAGTAACTGAAAATAGTTTGGAGAACTTGTCGAAGTTCAAAGAGTTGATGACGAAGCAATTTGAAATGTCGGATCTAGGAAAATTGTCATATTTTCTAGGCATGAAATTTCAAATGTCGAAGCAAGGTATGGTGTTACATCAAAGAAAGTATGTCAAAGATATACTCAAGAGATTCAGAATAGATGATTCGAATTATGCATCCTCACCTGTCAAACCAAATGTGAAGTTGGAGAAGAATGGAGAGGAAGACAACGTCTATGCAACTTTGTTCAAGCAAATTGAGGGATCTCTGAGGTATGTGTGTAACAATCGACCTGATATAGGTTTCGCAGTCAGATTAGTAAACAAATATATGGGTGAACTAAGAGTGTCACATATGAAGGCTGCAAGAAGAACAACCAAGTCAGTTCTCCCACCGTATCATACACCCCTATAAGACATTGTCTTGTCTCTAATAAACTCACCTCAGTGATGGAAAACAACACTGGACATACTTATACACAATTTTAGAAAGACATGCATGAGAGTTATTGTCTACCACACAAAATAAAAATGAGAAAATGGGAGGAAATGAGCATACATTCGTTCAAGTTTTTTTGGATGAATAGAGCTATGAGACCAATGCAGACAACTTCCTAAAGTATTTTCGAAACCCAAGATCTTCTTCTCCTTTGCAATTTTGTCTTCAATAAAGTTTGTTGAAGTTTCTCTATTAAGGTAAAATGGAGAGGTCGATAATATGATTACATGTTTTCAATACTAAAAAACAATTCAATAACTTAATAATTTGTGATATGACATTAATTAATCCAGATGTAATTAAAAAATTTTAAAAACAAAATAAAATTGTCATTCAGTGTGACACGTAAGCATCTTAATTGAGTCAGATCACTTACAAATCTAAAAGAATGGAATATTCGTAGGACAAAGTTAAAATATAATTTTTTATCGTCTATATAACAACTGAATACTAACCCAAAGAATATTTCTAAAATTACACTCTTTTACCATTTCTTTAAAAATATATTAAACTTAAATTTGTTTAATTTGTAAGTACATTCAATATAGGGTTAAATATACGTTACCCCCTTGCAATAGTAGCGAGTTTTGATTTATCCCCCTATTAAAAAAGAATTCTTTCCGGCCCTTAACAAATATACATTATCAAACAGAAAATCCTGTACTCCAAAATTCTCTATGAGTTTCATACGTGGCATTAGATTCTTTGCTGACTGTGTTATTAAAAGTCATGTTGGAATATTTGTGCATATTAAGAGCCAACCATTTTACATGAGTCGATACAAAACACGTATGTTTCGACACATACTGAATTAAATTTTTTATTTTTGAAGATAAAACGTGTTATGTGTCGATGCATGGAGTTATGTATCGATGCATACATGTTGAAAAATATTTTCCAGGAACATCAACATATCATGTGTCAATGCATAAAGGTTGAAAATTATATTCCAGGGATATCAACATGTTATGAGTCGATGCATAGCATGAATGTGTCGACTCATACTGAAGCATAATCATTTTTATGATTCTTTGCTTAAGTATGTGTCGATGCAAAGCTCTTGTGTCGACTCATAAAAGTGTTTTATGTGTAAAACACATTCTTAACTTTTTTTAAACATGTATACTATATTTTTACAATACACACATATAGATAAAAGCATTTTTAACATTCATTGATTATTTCACACATATTTGCTATCACTGAAAACTAATTATGTGAGGGGTTTGCTCACAAAGGATTCATTACGTGAAGGCATAAGTAGAACAAAATGTAAATATCATTACAAAAGGGCATAACAACCTAACAAACCATAAGGATACAAAATGTCAATGTCAATAAAAAAGGGCATAACAACCTAACAAATCATAAGGACATAAACCATAACTTAATTCCAAAGTTTCAAAAGGGATAATAGACAGTACAAACATAAGATTACTTCTTCTTAGATTTCTTCATTGCACATTTAGAACCACTTCATTCTTCTTTTGTCAAATACATAGGTTGTTTGGGGTTTGAACCCGACCCTTTGATTGGTTTTTAAAATCACTGGAGTTTTATTCTTTCACTGGACCTCTTTCTCACTGGCCTGACATCTTTCACTTTCAATTTTTCTTGCCTCTGTTGTCTGGTTTACCAACCACAGTAGAACACTGTGTCGCGTTTACTTCAGGAATGTTTGAAATGAAATCATCAATTATGTCGCCAAAATAGTCAACTGGTTCATTGGTTGCAGTTTGAGTTGCAGCACGGGGTACTGCAGTCTGAGTTGCAGCACGGGGTATTGCAGTTTGATTTCCACCAACTTGTGTTGCAGTTTCAGTTACAACATGAAACACATCTACCAAGCCCTGAAACATTGCATAATATCAGTCCAAAGTAAAACATGCATAACATCAGTGCAAAGTAAACCTACATAACATCAGTTCAAAGTAAAACCTACATAACATCAGTGCAAAGTAAAGTCTGCATAACATCAGTGCAATGTATACCTTTTGTTGATCAGATATAAATACGAATCTCTTGTCTTGACCTACATCTGTCATCATCAAATCAAGAAACCACCTCCAACTTTCTTTAGTTTCAGTCTCAACCACCCCAAAGACCAAAGGAAAATACTGATCATTTGGGTTCCTACCCACAATAATTAATAACTGACCCCCATACTTTGTTTTCAGATGACTGTCATCCACCCCAACAAAGGGTCTACAATCATTAATGAAACCCTTTTTACAACCATCAAAGCAAAAATAAAAGGAACCAAACCTTGGTTGCATAGATGGACTTGGTCTTTTTAAACTGATACTCAAACTGTTCCCAGGATTCACTCTATGTAATTCTGCAACACATCTCCTTAAATTTGCATACTGTTTGTCTGCATCCCCTTCAAGCATCTTCTTGGCTATGAGTTTAGCCTTCCATGCCCTAACCATCGTGATGCCCACAGAATACTTTTGCCTCAAGTCTTGAATTATACCACAAATCCTGACATTATCAAAGGTTTGCATTTTCTTCAACACTACCTTAGCCACCCACCAAAACTAAAGTACTTACACCCCCTCTGTAAATCGTAACCCCATTGTTCAACATTACAAACTCACCACCACAATGGAACACATCAATGAACATATGCTTATTCTAAAAATATTTGGGCAAACATTCAAAAATTAAGATTTCACTGTATGTAGCACTAAATGAACAAACAGCTGAAAGAACATATCTTATCAGTATCAACAAAAGCGCCTCCTTCCTCGTGCTTCTTCGGTTGGCTTGAATGTTTTGCCTTCTTGGAGTGCTTCTTCTTCTTCGCTGTTAATTTCTTCTCCATGGTGAGCTTGCTAATTTTGTTTGATATTGAACCCTAGATTTTCCAGGGGGTTAATCAGAAGACTAAATATTTGTAAGACACAAACATTCCAACATGGCTTTTAATGACACAGTCGGCAAAAAATCTAATGACACGTATGAAACTCATAGAAAATCTTGAAGTACATCGTTTTTGTTTGGGAATCTATATTTGTTAAGGAGTAGAAAATTTTTTCTTTTAATAGAGGAGTAAATCAAAACTCACCCTTCAAATATAATTTGTTTTCCCCTAATATGAAAGATACCATGGCATATTGTTCGTCGTTGGAGGACACTATCCCTAAAAAATACATAAAAACCGAAGCATACATTGTCCGTGGTGACGTATCGGTCTTAGCCACTGTTGTCTGTTCTGTTGTTGTTGGCTAGAGTTTTCCATCACTCTACCATTTCACGCCATTCACAATTCACAATTCACAATTCACAACCACTTCCATTCTAATGATTCTTCCATAACCTCAAACTCAAACCCAAAATCAATGAATACTTTCTCTCCCTCCTCAACTTCCCTTTCTTCCACAATTCTACCTTTCCCCTCACATACAAAAAACTCCATTTTATGCTTCAAAGGAAACACCAACCAATTTGGTTTTTCCAAAGGAACCCTCTTGCAGTTGAAGTCAAAGATAATTGCTTGCTCTTCTCCACAGGATGCTGGCTCCGGTGAAATCACACCAAAGTTTGTATTGTTTTGCCTATTGGGTGTCTCTAATTTGATTCAAAATTGAAGCTTTGTTACTGGTTTGATAAAAAAGTTGCTTTTTTTTGTTTTGAAATCAGCAACTTTTGCATTATTGAGGGGCCAGAGACTGTTCAGGATTTTGTTCAGATGCAAGTGCAGGAAATTCAAGACAACATAAAGAGCAGGCGCAATAAAATCTTTCTTCTCATGGAAGAGGTTGGTTCATAGTTCATACTTCCCATAGTTCATTAAATGCTCTCATTTTTCACATATTTCGGGCGATTTTGGATAACAACTTGTTTATTGTATAAGAGTTTATGTATAAGCTAATTCAATGATAAAAGATAAAAGCAGTTAAATCGTTTTCATATAAGTTATAAGTTGTTTTCATAAGCTATTGAACGGTTATGAAAATAAGCTGAAAACAATGTATGACAGTTATGGATATTAGCGAATAAGTTCAAATAAGCCGATCCAAACCAATTGTATATATCATATAGCCACACTTTTAATAATGGTTAATGAGAAATGAGAATGGCAGGTAAGGAGACTGCGAGTGCAGCAGCGCCTAAGACGTATACAAAGAGCTTTTAGTGAAGAGGGAGAAGAGGATGCAAATGAGATGCCGGAAATTCCTTCATCAATTCCTTTTCTTCCACATGTGGTGAGTTTCACAACCTTTTTTTGATGATTAGGCTATTGGTGATGAGTTGTTGATAGAACAACCCTTCTATGGATTGGAGAGAAACAAGTAGCAGAAGTCATATGCCAATTTCTACAAATAGTGAAGAAGCTTAGTCACATGAATATACTAGTTTAAATAAGACACTAATGTTTTTCACATTGAAGAAGTTTGTAAAACAGCTTGTGTTGAGCATCTTTTCTATTCGAGTCATTCTTTATCTTAACTAATTTGTATGCTTTTCCGATTGAAGTAGACGCCCAACAATTTGAAGAAGCTCTATCTAACAGGTGCATCATTCATATCTGCAATAATTGTATTTGGCGGGCTTATTGCACCGACGGTAATTTTATTACCTTATTCATTTCATTTTTTTGATCTATACCAATCAATCAACCTAAATTATTTGTGAGTCTATTAATGGATCTTTTTATTCTCTATTGATATTTGAGTTTAATTCTTACTATCCTTATGTTAATGGCAGCTGGAGCTGAAATTGGGTATTGGTGGTACTTCATATGAGGATTTCATAAGAAACTTGCATTTGCCTTTGCAACTAAGGTATGCTATTCTTTGTTTAGCCGACATAATCAATTTGCGATTTATGTCGGTCAGAAAGACCGAAATTGTTGTGTTGACTAATTACAAATTTACTTGACCAATACGCAATTACGATTCGTTCGGTTCATGAATCCAGTCAGGTCGATCCAATTGTGGCATCCTTTTCGGGTGGAGCAGTTGGTGTGATTTCAGTACTGATGTTAATTGAGGCTAATAATGTTGAGCAACAAGAGAAAACAAGGTGCAAGTATTGTCTTGGAACCGGTATGTTTCGACTCTTGAAAGATTGTCACTATCTTGATAAAGATACAAGGTCTAAAAAGAATTTATGAAAAGCGGCGTGTCTCACGGTTTTGTAAAAATCAATTAAATCTGATATACAGATAAATCGTTGTTATGCCTGGTTCTTATACCAAATTTGCGTCTTACACAAATTCGTAATTTTATTTATGGGCAGGTTACTTGGCTTGTGCTCGGTGTTCCACAAGTGGTGTATGCTTGAACATTGATCCGATTTCAGCATCTGGTACTACTGTTAGACCCTTGCAAGTTCCTACAACCAAAAGATGTCCAAATTGCTCCGGTGCTGGAAAGGTACACAATCCGGCGGCGCGTATCGTCTGATTCATTTGCTAATATACGCAACCGATTAATTTTGGTTGCAATTAGTAGTGTTTTTAACTAATTGTTTTATGTGTTTTGTTTTAGGTTATGTGTCCTACCTGCCTTTGCACTGGGATGAAGATGGCAAGTGAACATGACCTGAGAATTGATCCATTTGACTAATTCTCTACATCTTATGACTTTTGAGGACTAGTGTTTTCTTGTATTTTCACCTCAAATTTAGCAATAATTTCTGTTTTAGCACAAAATATATATGAATTGATGAATAAGGCTAAAAAGCTTGTAACATTCTATTCTGTTAGAATTCTTGATCCGAATTCCGTATTGTTTGAATATAATGTGATGCTTTTAATACAATCCTTAATAGTTTTCCGCCCCTCCCCAGAGGTGGTTTTTTATAAAGAGTACAACAAGCGAGTCGAAGCAGAGCATCAGTTAGGATTAGATTATTCATATCAAGACATGACTGAGGCACAAAATCAATGTTTCAAGGTATGCATGATAGAAATTGACTGCATCCTATCAAGATACTTGCGGATGCAATGAAGAAAAGAAACATGAGGAAAGAGATCGGCCTAAATAAACTACATAGAAGTCGATGATTCAAGTTCAACAGTCACATCTCTGTAGCATTGTCACAAATCAATATTAAAACCTGTTCTGCAAACATATTGGAGAAAAGTTCACAAGATCAAGCAAACCCAACAATTGATAATTAAACAAAGTTGTTAAAACCAAACAACAAGACAGTTTGGCCGAGTGGTCTAAGGCGCCAGATTTAGGCTCTGGTCCGAAAGGGCGTGGGTTCAAATCCCACAGCTGTCATATTATTTTTGATTTCATGATATTTCTGTCGCAAAATGGGAGCTGGTAGTTGATTAATCGAGTTGATCACTTGCTTAGTATGGTTGGTTAGCACTAATGTTTGAATGATTTTAGTTTTGTTTGCGCCTTTCAACTTTATACTTTTACGTCATTTTGATATCTTCCATACTCAGTCTTGAGTTTTTGAGGATTCATTTCTTTTACTACGTTAGCAACAAATGATGAATTAGTTGGGAAAATCCCGTGTGCGGCACTTGGTTCTAGCCTCTAGGTTATGTTAAGAGTCTAAAAATCAAAATAACTTGGAATGGTGATTATATAAGATGAAATCTTCTATTGGAATATCATTCACGCCCGATTAAAACCATACTATAATATCGAGTCTCTTACTTCTAATGACTACATCATACATAGAGATACACCAAATTATTAAAGGCTTAGAGTTAAACAGATCCTTTTTGCTATTTTATACTTTATTTGTTCGCTGATATCGATTTATAGGTGGTTAATTTCGACTAGCAGTCTTCATGCTCCATGCCTTTAGGTTCTCCACAGTGATATGCTCAGTACCATTATTGAACACGAACAAATGAGCTTTTTCTTTTAGTGCTAGTGTTGGATAAACCCTAGACAATATGTTTGTTTTCCCTCCTACTCCAAAACTTTCCACTACAGAGTGATCAATCTGCATCAGATTCAAACATTAAGTAAGTATTACTTCGTATCGTAGCTAGGTCTTATAGGAGATTGTGTTATGGACATACCAAACTCCTGAGAGAAAGTTTCTTATTATTTCCCAAATCCACATTTACAAAGCCTGCGAATGACGGCTTGTACAATTCCCTGTTCAACGAGGAACTGTATAGAAGAAGTATACACTAGTTAGAAGAAAATATTTAAGTTAATCGAAAGGATGTAGAAGTTAGTCAACAAACCTTTTTGCATCAGAGCACATGAGAATCTTGTGTTTATTTGAAGCTTTGAAAACTCTGAAGAACACAGAAGTATACTCTTCTAGTTTTTTCGAAGCCAATGTCAAAAGTCCAAACGGTCCAACCCCGCCTGGAACTTTTGAACCCTTTTGCGCACATAGATCCTCTGCATTCTCCCACTTAGGATCAAATGCCTCAGCCTTGTCCAAGCTTGAGAATGAGAATGTAACTTCCACATCAGCCTGAAGCATTTGTAGTATATAATTAGTGAAAACATTAATATACTACTTAATTAACATAATTACCGATTTAACTAAGAACCTGACCTGAGAAGCAGTAATCCCTTTTACTTCAAGATAACCTCCCTTCTTAAGCTTTCGGTTTTTCATCTCAACTTGTTTCCCTCTTAGCCTATTTAATTCTTCAACTGGCCATTGTCTTAACTGTCTCCTGCTAGAATCAAGCCACACAGTTCTTGGAATTGCCTGAAAAGTTTATAATCCATCTGAAAATAAATTTCTAAACTACAATAATAGTAACATAAATTTAGTTTAGACACACATAAACTACCTGAATTCCCGCCCATCCTTTCTTAACATCATCTTCTTTGGTATCGGATTCATTTGCCCATCCCCATATGATCCTTCGATTCTTGGTTGGATCAAAGAACGATTTGGAAGCATAGAAGTTTCCATAATCGTATCTAAGGCCACCCCAACCATCTTCTGAAGTTTTATCTGGTATATACTTGTCTTGATTTTGGAGATACGTTCCGATTGTATAATATTCGTACCTTGTTATGTCAAGGCTGTTCTTCAGCACATGCTTAACATTATTACCCATCATCGACAAATCTAATCCATTTTTTCCTTCCAAAGAAACCGGATAAAAATCCGGACACTCCCACATCCCTGTTCTTTTAGCGGAATGGATCGGGTGCTTGGCCCGGATCCATTTCAAGAAATTCTTACTCCTATATAAATAGGCTACTCCTGTATCTCCCGTCTTGCCACCAATAAGTATCCTCCAGTGTCCATCCTTGCCGAACCATGCAGTTGTCGGGTCTCGAAACACTGATCCATTCATGCCGTGATCTGCAGTCAAAATCGGGTTTAAGCGGTCGGGCTTAACCCAGTTTGTGAGAAGCGGATCAGATGCATTTGCAGGTATAGCAATGCATTGGACCTCATTGCTTTGCTTGTCAACGACTCCAGTGTAGAGGATGACAGGTCCTTTGCCCGGGAGGATTGTGGCCGAACCGGACCAGCATCCGTATTTATCAAAGGGTTTGGACGGAAATAGTGCGGGTTCAAGCTCTTTCCAGTTTATGAGATCCTTTGATACTGAATGGCCCCACACAATGTTACCCCAAACAGCTCCTTTGGGATTGTACTGGTAAAATAGATGGTAGATTCCTCTGTAGTACATGGGTCCTGTTTTGGTACATTCAAAATTATGTTATTACTGAATTCTATATAATTGAAAATTCAAGATTCAAATATAATAAAGTCGTCAACCGTGGGAAGAATTGGCTGACCATTTGGATCTGAATGTTGATGTTTCAAATCGATCCATCATCATCCATGACAGGTGAGGAATCAGAAAACACAGAAAGTTAGCACCATCATTATTCAAGGAGAATGATATGATTATGAATGTTTATACCATAACTACGAGTCTTAACAGATAAATATTAAGCCATGGATTTCGTTGCGAAAAAAACTATTTGAATCAAAATGATGCTAGGTATATACAAATCTAGAAGTACGATTAAATTACCAAAACAATGAATGCATATTTGGCCCAATTAAAATATATAGCATACTGTGATACTTTCCATATTAATATAAGATTAGCCCTGCATCTCCATGTGTAAGTGCATGCCAAGGGAGTAAAAAACAAGAAGTGACAGTTACTTGATATGTAAATGGCCACTCTTATTGCTAAGTTCATAATTACTCATCACTTCATTTCATATTTTATCCAAAAACTCATCAAAAGTTATCATGCACTAACTTAGTGTAATGTCAAATATGTTCATCTCTAAGCTACCTTTTTCCCCCTTTTTTTTTTGAATTAATAAAATTTATTTACATTTTTAGCATATAAGTCCATGATCGTAATTGATGCTATAAGTGAAGTTCCTCTTGCATTGTTATGGAATCTATCTTAGAAATTTCATACAAAAGTGATATATAATTGGACTCATAATATGTATTTTTCATGATAATAATATATATGTGACACGCGTTTCTATATAAGCTTGCTTTTATGCCTAACTATCAACAATATTTGTTTTAGTTTAATTTAATGTACTTTTAGTAAAAGTTTATGATTTGTTAATATTTAATTTATTATGAGTAAGAAAGACATGTTAGTCAATATATATTATATTATCACATCATTTTAATGGTTGATTAGGAAAAATTAAGTGCATTAAAATAAGACATAAAAATTAAGTAGCGCTTTTAAAAATTTAAACGGTTTTAATAAAATGAAAAAAAAAAAAATTGCACTCAAAATGCATAGTTAAATACTATGAGTAATGAGTAAGAAATAAAAAACGGTAATTACCGTTAATCCAGTTTCTATTAGGTTGAAAATGGAATCCAGTTCTATGAAGTTTATTCACAGAAGGAGCTGAAATAGATTGAAGACCAGGGTATATGTCATGAAACGCTTCAACTCCATTGTTACATAGGACACAAACAAGTATAAAAACAATAAGACAAAGACAATTTGTGAGACTCATCATTCTTAAAATGAATGAAGTGAGAATTGGAGACTATGGAACAAGAGAAGTAGCTAGTGTGGTTATTTATAGAGCCAAATGGGAAGGAAGGAAAGTTGTGGTGGACTAGAAAAATAGAACATTAGGCCATATATAGAAATGCTACTTATGCTTATGCTGCTATATTTCTTTTAACTCTTTAGGCTTAGCTTAATATTATATGTTTTATTAAATTAAATTATAATATTATAAGTGTATAACAAAATTTAAGATCTAAATATGATTCAATATTTATACTATAAAATAAAATTTCCATTAAATTAAAATAAAATATTTGGATTTTTTTTTTTCATTTATAAAACTAAGAATTAAAGATTTTACTATAAAACAAACAATTCTCCTAGATGCTTTAACTAAATTGGTTAAGAATGAGAAAACGTGTTTTGACCAGAGTCGGACCAATTAAATTAGAGGCTAGTCTAATTTTATAAAAAAAAAATTAAATTAATTATAAAAAAATTATAATAATTAAAAATGACACATTAAAATAAAATTATATATTAATTAAAAACAAATTTAATTATAATTATTTTGACATTCAATGAATCTCTTTTTCTTATGTATTGATTTTTTTATAACTTTTTTATTTATTAGATTTTTTTATTATAGTTTTTTTTAATATTAAAATAAATAGAATTTAATTACTTTTTATTTTAACCAGGATTACAATTTTTAATTTAACAGTATTACATCCTTTAACATAATATTATTATTATTATTATTATTATTATTATTATTATTATTATTATTATTATTATTATTATTATTATTATTATTATTATTATTATTATTATTATTAATTTGAAGTTTATAGTTCTAATTCTATTGTTAAAGTCTAAACAGAATTACCTTTACTTTGAAATTTATAGGTTTTATATTATTTATTTATTTATAAACTAATAAATAAGTCTATATCTTTTATAAAATAGTAGATTTATTTGCTAGGCACCTTTCATGTTCTTCTATATATTTAAACTTATAAGTTCGATGTTATTATATATAATTATGGATGACAATTTTATCTATTTTCAGTGGACATATGCAAAAATATTTATAATAAGTAGGGAAAAAATATATAAAATAGATATGGATACAGGCACAAATAATTACCTATAAAAATAAATGGGTGTGAGTGCAAGCATTAGTATCTACCCCCACTTCATACCTTATAGTATATATATATATATATATATATATATATATATATATATATATATATATATATATATATATATATATATATATATATATATATATATATATATATATATATATATATATATATATATATATATATATATATATATATATATATATATATATATATATATATATATATATATATATATATATATATATCAATTTTAAAAAATACATAAATGTTAAATTACTATGTATTTAATATATGTGTTTGTTTATTTCGTAATTTAATAAATAAAAATTAAAACTTTTTAATACTTTTAATAATTTAAAATGATATGATATTTTATAATTGATTTATTTATTTTTATAAAAATACGGATAATATATATGATATGATACCTGAACGAGTATAAAAATAAATATAATAGTATATTGTTTAAATTTTATTCATTATTGTCCCTATATATGATGATAAATAGAAAATTATACATGATCTTATCGATTAATCAAAATTTGAAATGAGTCGATAAATGACGTCTACAAGGCTGGTATCAATAAGGAGGAGGGAGTGTACCTGCAAGACATTTCGATGCTCAAGTAAGTAAGAGTGTAAAGAAATACAAGAAAGAGATTAAGGTTTTCTATATTGAATATTGAATATGTCACCCTCACAAGTGTGAGAGTTTATATAGTGCCTCCGACGCTTGATCATTGATTCTTATTTTTGAGTCTTGATATCAGATTTCTCAAAAATAAATAACGGTCAAAAACTAGTCATTGTAATAGACAGAGATGTTCGAAATTAACCGTTACAATAAACAGGAAAGTGTTTCACGGACAAGCGTGATTTTTGGTCGTTCTTGAGCGACTATCCTCGTGTGGTTTAGCAGGACGAGGACTAGTCTGCTTGAACAGACAAAAGTGATCGTGTAGACTCTAAGAATCAACTGACCAGAACTCCTCGAATAAGAGACAGAAGAAAAAATATATTTTATTTTTTATAATTTATTAGATTAAAATTATTAGACCATCTTATATACAAAAATGAATTAGATTTTACCGAACTATTGAGATAGTTCAGAACAATATATATACTTAAAAAAAATTGGTTGAAGACTAAATGAAACCACAACGAAAAATATTAATAATATGATTAATAATAATAATAAAAGAATATCATAAGTCCAAATCATATATTTATTAAGCTATTCTACCTATAACATTAGTAAAGTCATGTAACAATGAATGAAATATTTAAAACAAGAATTGATGGATATCGTCTACAAGAAAAAAAGTTTTATTTTCTACCATGACTACACTCCATTCATTGTTATAATAATCAATTTAAAAAAGAAATAATTAATTGTGATTTCACTATAACTTTGCTTGTTCTATCTAACGGAAAGGTCAAAGCTGAAAAATTGATGGATAGTTTAATTGGATTATTTTTTATAGAGTTAAATATGTTTTTAGACATTATATATTATTATATTTTGTTTTTAATCTTTTTAAAAAATATGTTATATTTTAATTATTATAAAATTATTATACATGTAATTTTAATCTTTATTGTTAAATCTATTTTAATCAGTATTGTTTAATTGTCCATTTAGTAACTTCAACAATATAATCATTGATTTCATCAACAATTTTATTTAGAGGAGTTAACATTGTTATATACTCCATAATTTTATTTATTGTCATCAACAATTAATATTGTCATAAACCATTAATATTATTATTAAAAATTTCATTTATTGTTATACATTAAAGTATTTATAAGTAAAATTTTAATATAACACTAATATAAGTTAGTTATATTGGTTTTATAAAAATATAGAAGATATAATAAATATTAGGATAATGATGATTATTGTTAAAAAAGAACAGATTTATTTAAATTAGAAATTATTAATGATAAATTTATTTGAGAGTTTAACTTTTTTAAATATAAACATTTTAATTAATAAAATTCTAAACAATATAAAAAGAAGAAATATATTTAAATTAATAACTTTTATAAATAATTAAAAAGAATATAAGTCTAATACCAATATAAGTCAATTATATTGGTTTTAAAAAAATCTAGAAGATATAATAAATATTAGTATAATGATGATTATTGTTAAAAAAAAACTGATATATTTAAATTAGAAACTATTAATGACAAATTTATTTGAGAGTTTAATTATTTTTTAATATAAACATTTAAAGTAATATAAAATTATAAAGAATATATAATAAAAGAAGAAATATATTTAAATTAATATTTTTTTATAAATAATTAAAATTTAGTTAAATATCTTTAACATAGACTTTATATATTTTTAATGAAAAAAATATAAAAATAAATAGAAGGTTTATATGACGGGATTAAATGCAGTTTAAATTAAACAATCAAGTGGCTTGTAATGTTGTCTACCCTAATAAAAACGTGTTGCATATTTTATTGATGAAACAATGATGACCATTTAAAAGAGATTGCATGGAAAATAATGATACACCATTAATTATCATTTACATGTCAATTAATGTTGTATAAATGAATATGAAAAGGTAACAACAATGAATAAATTCAACCAATAATTTTGATGTCGTTAATACTAAAGACTTTAAGATATGAGTATATCGAATTTTCAATTTTATTATATATATAGATTTTGTCACATTTATAGATATTTTACGGTTATATACTATTAATGTGAATGTTCAGAGTTTGTTCAGAACGATTTTAAATTTGTATTATTCGATATATTCTATCTATTTAAATGAATAAATATTATTTTTAATAAAAAAATGATAAAAATAAAAACTTTATAAAAATCAATATTAATATAACTATTATTATTAAAAATTAAGAATAACTTTGCAGATATAAATTAAATAAATAATAATATGAAAATAATATTAATAAAATTACTTTTATCGAATTTCAAAATAATATAAGAGCGATTAGAATATTTGAAAAATATAGAGAGATCTATTTAAATTATTGAATTTGATAAATAATATACTATTTAGTCAAGTTTCCTCAAAATAGATGAGAAATGCCATTTTTTATGATTGTATTTCTGCCATAGTTTTCCAAACATACACTAAGTCTTCTACATCATTCTTTTATCCATGGTATTTGACTTGGGAGAATCTTTTAATCTGGAAAAAAAATGCAAATATTATTTTAGTTTACACATTTTAAGGCTAAATAATGTTTTTAATGATAAAATAATTTAATTTATGGTTGAAAAGCAGAAAGAGTGAGACACATATAAAATAGAAGAATAAAATAGAAAACTCTGCATGATCAAATAAATTGAATGTGCAAATGAAAGAGTGGAATAAGCGTTTATCATATGAAAAGTCTTATAACAATTGAGTGGGTTTTTCAAATTTCCTAATGAACAGCTAAATTATTATGAGAATTAATAAAGATGATTAATAAAGAATGAAATATTAGTATTATTTTTAACGTATCTATAAAAAAATTAGAAAAAATGGCATCCAATGTGAAAGTAGAAATGGAAAGATAATTTTTGTATTTGTAGAAATGGAAAAGATTACAATATTTAGCATTTTAATTTTTTTCTGTTGGGGATATTTTTTTTACTCTTATAAATATTAGGCATATTTTTCATTTATTTAAGGGTTTCTTCATTCTATGGATTTTTAATTTTTTTTTGTATTTTTACAAATTTACAAATTTAAAATTTACAAATTTAATTTATATGTTAAACCTTAAATTTAGAAGATAGAGATTTTTTTAATTCTTTGTTGAAATATTTAATTTATTAGGTATAATTTTTTTAATTCTTTGTTATAGT